ATAAATTATATGTATTACAATTTTTCTATTCAGAAATTTCAAATTAAAACCCTTACATTTCATTGTACAACATGAGTATCAAAAAAAATATTTCAGTATAGAAAAATGCTTCGTGAAAGAACTGTGAAGTTGACAGGTGAAAAATTTGTGATGAAATTTGTGCTTGATAAATAAAAGGCTTATCCTTTACACCTCTCAACTTTTTTTTATATATATCAATTTGATATCTTCTACTTCCTGTAATATGCTTAGATTTTCTTTCCCTATGTTCTACTTCAGACCAGAAAACAAGCAAACTGTGTTTGCTTAATGAGGTTTCTACGCCCTTAGATATATATTACATTATATGGTACATGCATATTTCAACATACAATATAAGGTTTCTTTCTAATCATAATTTGTAAATAGGTATTTTTATCTGATTAATATGAAAATTAAATTACAGTATTTACATGGAGAATAGAGATACTTCTATTGATATGTTTTATCTCTACGAATATTAATTTTAATTGAGTCTATTTTCAAGTATAGCAATCTAATCTAATCTAATCTATTGAAAAAAATAGCCAGTAACACTATATGTTATGTAACATCAGAATATGCATGATGTTGCAAGCCTTCCATGTTTATTATATGTAGTCACTGTAATATCAATTTGAAATTATTATTAATTTATTTCAATGACAATATGTGTTTCATAAGAAACGAAATCAATTTATAATGATAAATTTCAAAAATAAATTATAATATTTTTTTCATTGCTTATGAAAATCTTTCTAAACTTTGAAAGAATTAATATTCAGGTAATCATTCAAGGACAAATTAAAGTACATGATATTGAAATTGCGGGAGAACTTGGTATTTGAAAAACGATTTTACTTTGTAATGTATTCCATTCACATTATCAAGACAAACTCTTAGCACTCTTCCCGAGATTTACAATGACTTGAATCAACATATAACAGTAAAGATCGGGTTTCATTTGCCTACAACCTCATGGCAACTTCCTATCCTCTTACCCACCCTACCCGGCTTAGCTTTTACAAATATACATTGTTTTTTTATGTTGACGAGAATCAGCTGTGCATATGGAAATATAAAACTTTAAGTATGGTTTAGCTAGATTTTCTTCATTTTTAGATAATAATATTTTGGAAATGTTCTATGCTAGAAACTGATTTGAAAATTGCAGGTAGCTAATTTCAAATTAAATTACTCAAACTTGAATCTCTTGACAGCTGTACATGATACACACTACATGTTCATAATGACATGATGTGAAATATATGTTTCATTGAACTTGATAAGATGAGAATATATCGACTTATCTATATATAGATTTGCAAAGGGTAGAATCAATGGAATAGCTGCAATTTTATTCTGGTTAAAATATTGATTTTTTTTTGAAAATCGATAATTGGAGTAATGAAATTTAGTCCAAAATATTTAAATAGCATAAGAAATCTAAAAATATGCAAAGAAAAAAACTACTCAAAAATACGTTCAGGTTAGAGAAAACGAAGATAGATAATTTTATAATGAAAGTTTTGATTCCTCATCATCATACATATCGTATTTTTTAGACATATTCATGTGGATGATCTATCTCATGATTTTAATGATCTTTCTAACTTTTATCTGATATTTTAACTTTGTATGACAATTAGTATGTGATTCTTATTGTCCAAAAATCGAAAACACTCACCTCCATAGATTTACAACTTGAAATTGTTAGGAGAAACACAATTTATATAAATTTGAATAAAATATCATAAAAACTAATATTTCATGACGTTAAGCGAAACGATACAGTAAAAATTTGCTCAAAAGACCTATGATATATGAGGAAAAATGTTGAGACATACAGTGAAAATAGTCACCGCGTTGACAAAAAATAAAAAGCCTATATACAATCATTGTTGTCTGTTTTAATCACTGAATTGAACACAAACTTCAAAATAAAACAGTGATAATCAAAGTTTTCTGTACAATTCGAACCTCTTTAGTGTTCAAAACTACAAGACAAACTTAATCTTATTTTGAAAGACATGTAGAAAAATTTTCACATTTATCTAGTGTTGAATATAAAAGATGAAATTCCTTGCTATTCCTCAATTTAACAATCAATAATGTGATGAGTCATAACATTATCAATTATCATGTTAAATAAAAATCATGTGAGGATTGGTAAAATATTTGATAATATGACTTATCAATGTTATTCTAAATCTCTATTTTTGACTTATAATGATTGATATCTGATATGACAATCATTATAAGAACATGAGAGTTCTAAATAACAACTTTGATGGTTAAACTTTAGTCAAGATGAGAGCGCGTGATACAAAATCTTTATTTTTACAACAATGGTTAGAGCAAAAGACAATCAATGTTACTATGAAGAGAAAAAAATCATTAATCAATTGGACAAGTAAATTAATTAATCGAAATCAAAATAGTATCACATCCATATGCAATTTTTGAAATACGGAGTAAAACACATACAGTATTATTTCAATTGGACAAGGAGTTTTAATTAATCGAAATCAAAATAGTATCACATCCATATGCAATTTTTGAAATACGGAGTAAAACACATACAGTATTATCTCTAGAATAGCATAACTAAAGTTAGATGTTAAAAAAATCATTCCGAAATAGAAAACTTCATCATCTTTTTCAACTGAATGTATCGTTAAAAAAATTTCTTTTAAGTTCTTCATGTTTAAGAATGTCAATGCTCATTAGATACAAAAAAATTGAAACATAAAATAAAAATTGTGTGAAAATGTAATTCATAAAGGTAGAATTTTTTTATTAGATTGTTTTGAAACAAGTTTTCATTCAAATCAAACAAATTTCAAGTTGACGTACAAAATAAATGTCCCTGATAAGAAACTTTTATGTTGTGTTTGATGTGCAGACACGTCAAAGCACACAACCTTTTGACCGTCTTATAAAAATCTTCTGCATGCAGATGGATATGTAGTATATAAAAACTGAAGATCTTTTACCAAACCAATATCGATTACTACATCAAGGTCGAGGTCTTTCATCCAATTATAAAAATGCAGACAGTTCACTCCATAACGAAAATGGCCTCCTTTTATACAGTCTCTTACCATTTTCCGGCTCCTCCATGAAATTTAGTAGATAAAAATCTTCCCAAATGCTTGTTGAAAATTCGTTTGTAGCTTGTGTGTCGGTTTCATAGTGTCATGAACAAGGCGAATAGACAAATACATGCAATTATCAAACATTTCCAGTACGGCAACTTGAATTGACGTAGATAACATAACCTTCTCTGCTCCAAGTTTGCAACTGTAATCTTACACTAACTCATTCTATCATCATTTTGACAACTAATTCGCCACAAACATATGCAGAATTTCGATACAGTATATAACCACATTCATCACTTTCTCTTCCATTCGCTCAGTGTATCCAAGCAGACACATGTCGCATTAAGCTCAATGCATGTTCATTTGACTATTTTTTTTCTCTCTTTACGTGGCCTCATATCATGCTGAAAATTTTCATTCTCATGAACTGAATCCTAGCCACTAACATATGCAAGACTATTGGTTAGCTTTGGGATGAAATTAAAATTCGATGGGACACAATCTCGACCTCTCCTCTAGCTAATCTTGCTAACATGCAATGTGGATGCCCATTCGATTCTTAAATGATGCGTCCTTGTCTATTTTATGCCAACACATACATGTTCAACAATCAAGATATCAGTGGTCTTGAAATATATGTTCGCGCAGGTGGTATATCCCATAGCAATCCATAGCGAATCGAAATTCATCTAGAATTTTTAATGCGACACCCGTCTATTCTGGAGGTTTCCATCTCGAAGTAAGAGGGTGGGACAATATGGATATAAAAGACGATGTGGAGAACCAAACGACGGAACAAAATCAACCAATAATGTCGATAGTATAATGATGAGATGTATAAGGTATGACATCTTTTCTAAGTGGTGTAACGATTTTCCTTGTAGTATTCTACCGTGAGTCCCTGCTTCATGCATACAACGTCTCCAGCGTTGCCATGACCTGCAATTTGAACGCGTTGTTTGTGGTCGTGGATCTGAATGAACAAACTAGTAGATACTTTCATGGCTCGGTATCGTTTGGGGCATACTCCAGCCTAAGTGTTGTCAACCTCTGCATAGTAACTCTTTTGAAGATCACATCCATTGCTTATGAGTTCAGCTCAAATCTACAAATCTTACCGAAGCATAAATCTCCTCATCGTCGTTTCTTTTCAAGATTTCTGCCATTGCTATGAAGATCAGCTAAAATTTTATATCCAAGATGCTAAGTGCTACTGCTGCGTGAGTTTTGGCTCTTTTAACTTGTGTGTGTGAGTGTGCTTGAATAACATATATGTTTATTATGCTTTTGTCCTCACTGCTCTTATAAATGTGTTCGCTGGGTTCTTATCTGTACTCTTCAAATGAATGTTCGGTTTTCGCCATTGGGGTGCGAGGGAGCAAACAGATGTAAAATTGGGTATGATTTAGCTTCGGATGGAAAATTATGAGCTCATTTCTGGCTCCCCTTTTTTAACCTTCACAAAACCAAACTGAGAATCACTCACTGTCCTGAGAAGAGCGGACATAAAACCATCATTGCACTCATTAGGTCTGGAGTCCGGCCGGACCCATCAGATCGCTGCAAGCATGATTCGGCATTTAACGGGATGCATTTTTGTCTGGTAAAATGGAATGAGCAGTTCAATAAAAATCGCACTGGATCGCGTCCTGTAGAGAGACCCTTCAATTCTTGTGAGGCAGACTGGAAACGAACGAACGAGCAAATGAATGTTGAGTGGCTACAGTTCAGGAGCTCTGAGAAAGGTCTTCTCTTTGGCATTACTTTGAAGCACTGGTCGCTCCGTCTGTCACCGAAAAACCGTTGAAGTGGCAACGGAAGCTCGACGAGCATATAATGAGCTAAGAATTGTTTATTGCAAAAAAACTCTTAGATTTCGGAAAGGCCCGGCACCATATTAAGAGCAGCAGCAGCAGAAATCTCTACGACGCTCGAATGCTCATGACGGTGGTTTCTAACTGAACTCTGGCCCGGTACGGCCGCAGCTTCCACTGACGGAAAGCTTTGAACAATGGCTCCAGATTCGGTTCAGGTGAAATCCACTTTACCCTGCATTGATCGATTCGAAAAGCACGGGAGATCTGCCCAACGAAGAACATAAATTCTGTATACGAGGAGAGAAGTAATGCACATCCTCGGTTGGGTTGGGTTGGGCAGCTTGCGCCGGGTTCAGATCAGAGTTTTCAGACATGGTAAAGCCCTAGGGCAAGACCCCATTAGAACACTGTACGAGCGATAGGGCGAACGAACGGAACGCACGGACGAGATGGGATATTCTCGATTCCACATCCTGGATCAGATGACCAATGTTCAATTATTGCGGCGAATGCTTCGCTCGGCCTGATGTTCATTTGGGACGAATCGAAAGTCTAATGGGGGCCGAGCAGGAGACGAGACGAGACGAGATGCGAAGCACGAGTAATGTACGAACCGATCCACCGGAGTGGAAGCTTTCTCACACATACATCCCATACCTTCTGATACGTCCTGGCGAGGGAATAGAATCAGGTCCATGTGATGGCCGCGATTGGCTCGCTTCCATGCGCCCAATCGCTGGGCGGCTCTTGGAATGTTCAGCATTGGGCAGGAGAAATTCCGAGGTACTGCACTTGATGATTCATATCCTCCAGAAGTACGTCCTGCTGAGACTCGGTGACCGTGGTTTGGAGAGACGTCCATTGAGGGACAAGAAGCAGAATAGAAGAAGGAAGAAAAGTGAGTCCCACTGAATCCCCAGAAATTCGAGTTGCATTCGTACTCGCGTTCAATCAGGAAAGTGTGATTGAAGCGTTAATACTACTGGATCAAACTGAGTTCCGGCTTTATCGTGAAAGGCATCGATCAGTAAGACTGCACTACATTAAATAATCTTTGCTTCTACCTCTTCTCACTTTTCATCTTCCTATATAGTATCGGCATATGGCACTCACCTTGTGATATGACGGTGTCTATCTTCCTTCACGCTTTATCTCTTTGGAATTCGGCCTCTTCACTTACAGTCTCTGGAATTATAGCCTGAGGGCTGCATCGTCATGTCATACAAACCCAAACATGTTTGATTCTCTTAGTCTACTTGAATATCTCAATCCCTCTTTGTATTATGTTTCAAACATGGAATCTTCCAATGATGAAGATTTCTGCAATGCGCGGGCAAAATATTTTTCAACGGGGCATAGGCTTTTCCAACATTACTTTGCAATAAGTCAATGTTGTTTCTTCTATACTGTTCAGCCTTTGTCTATCACACAAAAGGTTTTTGTCTAATCGCGGAAAATTCAGGCGATAATATTGTTGCCAGTTGTTCTCAATGACAGGAAGAGCTTAGGCAGAGAGTAAGAATGGTTGCATTGAAAGGTGATTACTATTGCAATTTTTATTGTGCATTTTATTTTGGACATGTGATTCAGTGTATTATTGATATCATGCTTTTGACCATGGAATTAGACTGCTCGTACTTTGGACAAATCTTACAGGCAAGAATAAAATTTTAATATAAATATGAAGAATAAAGTAATGAAAACAAAGCACATGAGCTAATTTATTTTTTTTCTTCATTTATCATACAGAAATGAAATCATTGAAATTTGATGGTCCCGGGATATATATTCATCTTACATGAAGAACAAATACACTGGATTGCAGTTCTAGTTAAAACTCTATTTGTACATCCGATCACATTTTTCACCACATAAGATGAGTTAGCAGTCATGACTGAAATTCAATAAAGTACAGTATGCATCGTGCTAAAATTTTATGAGGGCATGTGCGCTAAGGTCAATATCCCAGGAATGACGGTTGAAAATTCACTCAATAAAGGGTATAGGTTTTTTACCTGTGATAAGTACGAGAAAACTACTACCTCGTACTTAAGTCTAAACAACCAACTTACATAATTAAACAATACGAATTTTCATCTAGATTCTTCGTAGCGCGAAACATAGCCACCAATATACAGGTGTGAGATTTGAAACGTTGATAGTGGAGTTCCATGGATATTAGTTATATAGTGGATAAACAAGGGACTAACTTACTTCAGTATTCAACGAACTATCCATGGAACTACACTTTATTCAACTTTGTACTCATTCCCTTATTGGAGTCTTTCGTTCTCTTTGTAGTCGTGGAAGGCCATAACGTGATCAAAGTCTTTGTTTTGACCTCAGCTTATATTATTGTAATGAACTTCCTAATCAAGGTGATACCACACTAGATCCAAGATGCCAGAGTGCATCAATCGAAAGACAAAAGGGTGTTAAAGTTTTATATTGCACATGACTCAATCAGTGAAGGGCTCCAACGAACTTCGTGCCATACCCTTCGTCATTTCTCTAAGCTCATGGTTGACCGCAATTTATTCAACAATTCATCTTCCGAGTACCTGAGATGAAATGAGCCCAACATTACATTTACTGTCCATCAATATATTAATCAAAGATAGAAGATTCAGTGACGTAATCAAGTGTACGAAATTATGTTTACCGCAAACAACGTCATGGGTATCCGGCACTGTCTTTTTCTTAGCCGGTAAAGTCAGAAGCAAACCTGCTACTGTATATCATCAAATTGATGTACGCTTCTGTGGAAAGGAAAACTTCTTCCTCGGCCTTAAGAAACTTGGGAAATCTTTTGCTAAAAAAGGAATCTTGGACTAGACTGAAACCGGATTTCACAAGATGCGGCAGAGAAATCGCCGGAAACGACAGATAAGGCGAAAAACCAGAAGACAAAGACGCTGAAAGTTCAAGCAAGACACAGTACAACAGAATGAGAGCCACAGCTGGAGGGCAAAGCGGTGATTCATGATCACAATCGGTATGTACTTAATATGTTGCAGGTTGGCTTTCTTAGTCCTTTGGGGGAATTTGAAGTGACAAGATTATGGGTAATCTTTTCATTCAATGCCCGGTTGATCAGTCTATGCAGTAGATTGATCAGGTTTATTTTTCAAGCGCAGAAAACCTGCAACAGATGTTGAAGTAGCTCTGGAGTAGGGGGGAAACAGATCAGCAGGTTCGTTTAGCTAGCAGAGATCCGGTGATATCTAGGAGTAAGAGTTCTTTTGCACACCAGCTATGTCCACGTTAGTCTTAAGTGTACGATCGAGGGAAAATCGACATGCCGACTTGTAATTTCAGCAAATTATGCGTACTAGACGAATCTTTCAGCTCAAATCGATTCAAACAGTCATTCCACCATTAGCACACAATGATGAAAATTTCAAGTGCGTCCGCAGGTTCTCACCAAGAAGTAAAGTCTAAAATTAACCAATTACTAACCTGTTTTGCATAACAGTTGTCTTGCAACCATCTACAAACTAAGAGGTTGATGGATAGTTCAAATTACGAGGTTTTCTGAATTTTCAAAAAACATGGTGGTTGTAAATTCTGTATGTTCATGAGGTTAAAATTTAGGATCTTAGATTTCTACATTGCCAGAAATCCTTGCTGCTCAGAGATTTCGGAGTAACAACATGGAACAACACTCATCAAGCACAGGTCGCAAACAGTACGCTGTCATTCTCTGTTTCCCAAGCGCAAAATATCGCTTTGGCTTACTTCAGTTTAATACCACGTTGATGAGCTCAATTCCTCCTGTGAAGCAAATGACGTTGTCAATGTTTTATCCATAAACATTGGAAATTAATGTTTAGTCCATCGAAATGAGTATTCTTACAACCTGTGGGTTTTAAGGACTCTAAGGAGGATAACCGCATTTCTAGCTTTCCAAAACACTGTAATAGAAAAGTGGGATGTCAGACCGATACAAGATCTGCTGCGCTAGAACTCCTATCTGGGAAAAATTTGTTGAACAAGAAAGCACATAGACTGATTCATAAATTTTGTCTACTTTGATTGATGAGACTAGGCAGGAACATAAGTATTCCATGCACATGCACGTCTCTCAAGTTAAACACTAAAAGCATGACTCAACACAATCTTCGAAACAATGGCGGAGTTCAAGCCGATCCTGGTATCTTCAATCGTTTTTTTTTATTCTTCACTGCATGGGAGATGGAGAAAGAAAACACTGTGGGACCCCGTATAAAACAAGAGACTGGACGATGAAATCGGATAGCTCTGCATTAAATAAATCTAGAGTGATTTTATATATGTAGAAGTTAAGTGAACATGGAATTGATATGATGAAGACCATGATCGGATAGGAAACCTTCAGTCAAATACCATATTGTTGATCATTACGTGGGGTGAGAGATACAGTATCGGAATCCATTCACAAATTTAAACTTTAGAAAATTCAGTCAATTGACGGGTTGTCTAGAAACGTGTGATGCTCTTCGATACACATGAATTTTCGTGGGAGCTAGTGGGACATTTCTTTAGAAAGGGAGACGTATTTCAATTCAGAATGACTTCCGCAGTTCGTTGTTCTCCATTGTCAGACCCAGGCGTGGAATGTTCAGGAATTTGAGTGAGCTTGGCAGAGACGTAAGGAAACCGTTGTGTATTTAGACTCTCGAAGCTTTAGACACTCTTCTTCACAATGTGTCGAATAGATATAAAAAGGCAAAAGTCTCAGTAATTCAAGCATCTAGACTGAAGGAGAAGTCTTTCATTGACCATCTATCTAAGATTGGATAGGTCCATTTCCATTTCTCCTACGGATTCTGAAGCATCATAAGGTAATTTTTGTTGTTATCAATGATCTGTTCAACGTGGTCGGTTAAACGATATGCAAAATATGGTGGTTCTTGATTCAAACAAAACCAGGTAATTGTGAAAAGAAACGATACCCACCTTAAATCAATGGCGTGGAGAGATTGGCAGGGGATCTATAGAACAACCTAGTAGGTCGAAGCAACACATTGCAATATCTCCTGCTCCAAGAGACTGACTTTTGATACCATCTGAACAGCAGATATCTAGGAGCTTCATAACGAAAAGATAACAACCAGAAGCTTTGGTGCACACTTCCGGAGTCTCGTTATTAGAAGTTAAGCACAGAACCCAGGATTTATATTTCAAAATCTGAACATGACTGGTTCTGATGAATCTTGAACCAGTATTCGATCAAAGTGAAGGTCAGCTTACGTCAGAGTCTGTGGGGACTTAAGCCCACGAAAACTAGGCAAGCAATTTCAAGTATCAGAATTCAGCATGTGATATTTCTGTCAATGAAAGCACAATTTTCTCCCCTGCCGGTCAGTGAGTTATCTCACCAGATTTCCAGTAATTTAGTAAATTAGCTCATATACTAGTAATCACATAAGCTTGTGAAGCCAACAACATTTTTTAATGAGACTCAGTCGCTGGTTATTCAGAAAGTGAGCCCCAAGAAAAATCTTCATATCTCTTTTTGCTCTACTTCGATTGCGATCGCAATATGTAAAGTTGATAGAGCGCTTATCCCTGAACATGCCAAGTGGTCATTCCCATCCACGTGCAATGGGTTGGAGCATTTTCCTCTAACTCGTGGATGGCCATCATGATCTTATTAATTTCAGGTGGTGGCAAGCATATCCAAATCCATTGGGACCACCTCTTTGTGCATTACACTACAGCAAGCTGTGAAGGAGATGGCTAAACAGCACGATCATCTGCTCAGCAGGATAAGATCGCTGAAGATGATTGCCTCTGTCTGACAGCTGGTCCAAACCTAGAGGCTATTGATTCTTTGAGTGGTCATTTGCAGTCTTCGTTACCTTGTGAGGAGTAACAAGGAGAAAACAAGATCCAGCAAGTGGTTGTTTCTAAACCTATTGGACTATTCCCTCGAAATGTGCAGCTACTCGAAAATTCAACTGAACCTTGGATACAGGTATCTTTTTCTCTGGAAATAAAGCAAAGAGGGTTTTGTAAAGTAGAACCTTCATTTAAAGATTTTGAACCCCGTAGATTGTAATATAATGTTTCCAACTAACATGGGTATCAGTTTGAGATAAGAATCCATTATGTATTGACTTCTAGTGACCCAAGTAATACTATACAAATTAAGGCATGCCCTGTCAATTGGTTTCAGTCAAAACTCATTTATAGGAATGAATTTTTTTCTGAAAGTACAAATTAGACCAGTCTTTCATCTCAATCAACTTTCTTTAAAATTTCCTTTGTGTCTGTTGAATCTCTTTAGTTAAGTAGTAATAGATACTGATGTAGTGCAAAACAATGCGTATCACTAATTTTGTTTTACTAAAAAAGATTGATCTATCTAATCGTAAAACGATA